CAAAACAAGCTGACATTCCTGTCTATTGTCTCTTCCCACTGTTTCCTCATCAAAATAAGTTGACATTCCTGTCCATTGTCTCTTTCCACCTGGTTCCTCATCAAAACAAGCTGACATTCCTGTCCATTGTCGCTTTCCACCTGGTTCCTCATCAAAATAAGTTGACATTCTTGTCCATTGTCTCTTTCCACCTGGTTCCTCATCAAAACAAGCTGACATTCCTCTCCAATGTCTCCTCCCACCCGTTTCCTCATCAGGATAAGTTGACATTCCTGTCCATTGTCTCTTCCCACCCGTTTCCTCATCAAAATAAGTTGACATTCCTGTCCATTGTCTCTCCCCACCCGTTTCCTCATCAAGATAAGTTGATATTCCTGTCCAATTTCGCTTCCAACCCGATTCATCATCAAGATAAGTTGACATTCCTCTCCATTGTCTCTTCCCACCCGTTTTCTCATCATGATAAGTTGACATTCCTGTCCATTGTCTCTTCCCATCTGTTTCCTCATCAAGATAAGCAGACATTCCTGTCCATTGTCTCTTTCCACCCGTTTCACCATCAAGATAAGTTGACATTCCTGTCCATTGTCTCTTCCGTTTCCTCATCAAGATAAATTGACATTCCTGTGCATTGTCTCTTCCCATCCGTTTCCTCATCAAGATAAGTTTACACAGAGTGTGTATAATGACATTATGGTTCTGAAAATGACGATCGTTAATGAAGTCATTCAAACTAATTGAGCTGATTTAAGGTCAGATCATTTGCAAGTACGTCGTGATGATTTTAGGGCATTTTCTCTCAATACTGACGCACTGAAAACAATGAGATTATTGCGAGAGTGACATTAATGCGAAAACTGAGATCATTGATATTTGCTCTCATTATTTAAACTGGGAATTTTATGTCTCAAAATTGACTGTAAACAAGAGAGCCCCATCTCTAGGCTATGCAATATTTTGAAATACAGATTGTCGAGTAGTATGCGCAGTTGGAAACTACATCCTATCCCTTTAGGTGGGGAAGGGGGATAAAACGAACTTACTCTATAAAAGTGAGTGAGTATGGTTTTACGCCGCTTTTAGCAATATTCCAGCAATATCACGGCGGGGGACACCAGAAATGAGCTTCACACATTGTACCCATGTCGGGAATCGAACCCGGGTCTTCGGCGTGACGAGCGAACGCTTTAACCACTAGGCTACCCGACCGCCCCTGGTCTATAACATGTTACATTTGCGATAAAACATCACAAGACATGATCATTTGCCATATAAATTGTATTTCCTGTTATGTTAGGCATTGTTTTACAAGCAGAGACCAAGTTTATACACTTGTACGTATAAGTTAAGCGGTTCGATTGGAATTAGGTTTCATTCAATACATCTCGGATAAACCTCAAGTTATTTTTCTCGAAAATTCCACTGGGATGGGGGGAGGTCGCATTTTTGGCTAGGGGTCGGCAGTCGCATTATTTAAATACGCAATAATTTCAAGATTCAAAGATGAAAGTATTTTGCCCTATCGATTCTGCAACTAATCATCATTTGATAAAGCTCTCTAGATTATACCTCCATTACACACTGTTTATAAGATTTGGAGACACATGCAAGTACATAATGTATATTATATGACATAACTATTAGACGTTCATGCAAATGATGAATGTGACAGTTTTCTTCTTTATCCGTTTACATCAGAACACGGATCATGCTTTGCAGCTGTAAGTCAATGGACTGTTCCGCTGTATTGCGTTATCTATTGTACGTCAGATATGTTGTGCTTTCTGTTTGGTGACAAAACCAGGACCTTTTTAATTCGTACTTGTGTCCAAAAAATGCGTACAAAGAGTGAGTGAGTTTTTTTAACGCCGATTTTAACAATATTCCAGTTATGTTACGGCGTGTCAGCTGAATGTGGGAGGAAAGCCCGAAGTGATGCAGGTTTCAGCCGTTTACCACTTCGGTGAAACCCACGAGCACGGGTATGGTGCTGGCAAACCTAGAACCATAATCGGGGCGAATCGGGATTCGAACTCACAATCATGGTTTTCTGGTGTGCCCAGGTGACGCAACTCTGCACAGCGGATCGCGGCGCCTTAGACGACTGGGCCACCCGTACCCCCTAAACAGTTTGACGTTGAGATTGCATGCATCATGTTGTGGTATCAACCCATCATGCTAACTGTACATTATCAGCAACATCTAATATTCTCAACATAGTTTGCAACGTATTGATCCAGAGTGCTGCGCTATTGTGAATAAACCAGTTGCCATAAATGTATCTTCATGTTATGCGTTGTTTAAACATACACAGGAACAGGTGTTAACGGAGTATCTCGTGTTTCGATAAGTATACTGAACAACAACAGTTCCTGTGTCATTGAATAAGATTTAATGTAAAGTTATGTTTTTCAACAAATCTGAAACAATTTCGGTTTGCAGCAGATAAAAGACTTCTGTAAGTGTTCAAATGGTTTGATTTGCCATACTGACTTCAGAAAATGCGTGATTTCATAAAAAAAACATGAACATGCCAAAATGTCAAAATGCCACCCCATACCATAACGCTGCCGCCCCCGAAACGATCTTCTTCCGTGACACAATGATTGACGTAACGTTCACCTCGACGTCGGTACACTCGAATCTGTCCATCGCTGTGGCTGAGGTGAAAACGAGACTCGTCAGTGAATAGAACTTGTCCCCACTGCATGGCCGTCCAGCGTAGACGCTGTCTGCACCACTGTAGACGTGCTTGGTGATGGTTTCCTCTCAGAATGGGACGTCTGGCGTGTCTTCTGGCGACAATCTCTGCACATCTGAGTCGACGACGTACGGTTTGTGAAGATATTCGTCAAAGGCCAGGGATGCTTCTTGCAGTCACTGTTGCTGGCTGGAATCGATTTCGTAGGTGTGTTGTTCGAATCCAGTTGTCCTGTCGATTATTGGTTACGCGTGGCCTGCCACTCCATGGATGGTCTCTGACAGCATTCGTCTGTTGCCACGTTGCCATCAACACCACATAAATTGTCTTGCATTATCACGTTGACTCGATCCTGCTTCAAGCATACCAATGGCTCGCAGACGCTCATTTTCGGACAGGCGTGGCATTTCGTAATGTTGAATAATTGCGTAATTGCGATTCTAAACAATGCATATGGAATCCCGTTAACGCACATGTTTTTATAGCCGTTCTTGGGTAGTGAAATGCATGGGCCTTGCATGAAAGTCAACTTTTGCAAGGAATGCACGCTTTTCTGTAGCAGTTGCGTTTTTGTGACTTGATTCCATACATGTACTACAATATTAAAAACCAAACTTTACTTGTTTGAAAAATACACTAAAATAATGGTGTCACAGGAACGTTTGTTGTTGAGTATAGTATCGAAGCCTGAGCAGGACGCTCGTGGAGGATTTCAAGATGCCCCCTCGTACAAAGATGGACACTGGTCTTATCGTTTGACGTGTTAACTATATTTAGTATGTGCATTTTAATTTCCCTTCACCCAGAGGATGCTCATATCACTACACTATTTTCACCCCGCTGAATGGATCAGTGTAAACTCGATTTTCATTCTCAGCTAACTGGGGAGTATACAACCCAAGATGCCTGTGAGGCGCTGGAAGGTTAACAGACACATTACAATTTCATCCTTCCGGGTACCCATTCACTGCTGGGTGAACAGAGGCACTTCTCGAACAGACTCACTTGCCCAAGGAGACGCCACATATGTTACATGTGCTTCAGTGTGGGGCAGGACCGAAGCCCTAGAAACTCTCAGGAGTCAAGGTGCTGAACGTGGTCACCCATCCGTCACCCAACCGACGTTGCTTAACATCCCCTGATTTGTGACCTGTGCGCTTTGCACAGGACCACGTGCCACCATGTAGGATTTCATGCTTGACGTGTATGACGTGGGCTTTGACGTAGTGCTTAACGTATTGTTAGTCGTAGTAATTGACACAGTGTTTGACGTAGGGTTTGACGAAATCTTTTTCGTAATCTTTGACGTAGTGTTCGACGTTGCGTTTGACGGAGTGTTTATCATAGTGTTGAGGTAGGGTTTTGCGTATTGATTGACGTATTGTTAGACGTAGTGTTTGAGGTAGGATTTGACGTAATGTTTAACACAGTGTTTGAGATAGGGTTTCACGTATTGTTTGACGTAGGATTTAACGTGTTTGATTGAGTTTAGGGTATGGTTTGAGGTGTGGTTTGACGTAGTGTTTTGTCTCATTTTTGACGTTGGGCTTGACGTAGGGTTAGGCATAGGGTTTTACGTAAGGTTTTTACATATGGTTTGCCACCGCTTGAACTTTAATTTACATCAGAGAGTGGCAGCTTTGGAGGGAAGCCCGAAGTGATTCATATGCAGGTCTCAGACGTTTACCACTGTGGCAAAACCAACGTCTACAAGTATTGTTCTGACACCCAAGAAACATTACCGGGGAAATCAGAGATTTGGAACCAAGGTCTGGCATGTCAAAGGGACTCAACTCTGCATAGCCTAATGAGTCGCCACAGACAACTCGGCCACCGGTGTTACCAGATACTATTCAACACCGATTATATATACTGCATACTTGGGGTGGGGATGTGAGGTGAAATGGGGTTTAACGTCGCGTCAAATATTATTGCACTTATATAGCGATGTGCATGCACGTGTTTCTGTGTGCGTGCGTGCGTGCGTGCGTGCGTGCGTGCGTGTGTGCGTGTACCAGTCCAGGCTGATGCCGATTTTATAGTGCTCGCCCACTGAGATACCATGCCGTAGGTTAAAATGAATACCCCACTCAGACACAGTATACTGACTCCGAGCAGACCAGTCCTTGTTTTAGCCCCTTAATGCCGAGCGCCAGACAGGGTAACAACAAGTACCGTCTTTTAGCGTCTTTTGGTAAGACGCGGCCGGGGATCGAACCCCGCACCTTCCGCTCCCCTGGCGGACGCTCCACCACTAGACCACGGAGGCGGTCTTTATATTGCTGTAACATCAACATACCAGATTGCACTCTTCCTTTCTGTCGGCGAGGCACAATTTGTATGTGACCTCATATATCATGGACGACGGCCCAGGGGTGAAGTATCCAGGCTTGTAGTCCATGCAGATCTTTGTGTCGGACTCTCTCCGTGGCAGCACGTCAACTAGCGCTTTCCCGGACTCGTCCGGACAGCTGAAGAGTTAAAAGAATGGACAAAAGTCATTAAGCCAGTTGAACAAGGAATCGCCATGAATGTGACCTCATGCAGTCACGATCAAATAAGTGTCTCAAAGAGATGTTTCGAGAATGGAGTTGCTAAAACATCGATAAACGCTTACATGAATGACAAAGAGCAACAGAAAACATGTTTAGAACATATTTACGAATTCTTAATCAATCAATCAATCTTTATTTCAAATACTGAAACGGTCACAGGCCTATAGTACATAAATACTTACAGTAGCAATCGGTGCAATAGGAATCACATATATCGTAACGAAATATCACATCTATAATGCAGAGGATCTGATGTTTATTGTATGGTATATACACATAGCAAGATATTTTGTGAGTTTCATTTTGAGACGACATGAGGATATAACATTTGTCTATTCTAGGATTCCGATAAAAATATGTATGTATGTATTCTTTTCTGATACTTGCATACAATTGGACAGACTAGCAAAAAATGGTATTCATCTTTTATCTCATGGCAAGTACAATATTTACACAATCTGTTTTCCCTTGATATCACTAAATGTCTACCTTTTTATTAGAAGGTCTTGAGAACTACATCTGAAACGGGATAGTGCTGTTCGGAATTTCTTAACATTCATATCCAAAAGACATTTTTGGGTAAGAATGAATGATTTAAAACAGGTGTAATGATTCAACTTATTGTGTAAACATAGTGAAGAGTACCACTTTTGAAAATACATATCGTTTAGCCTTTGTCTTAAATTATATACGAAACGATCTGGTACTGTTACATGTTGCTCTCTCCAAATGTACTCATACCCGCAAGATTGGAGTATCTTTTTTACACCCGAGACCCAGTTATATTTACCTCTGCTATCGTAAAGGATCATGTTGTAGCATTTTAAGCAATTTTATCCAATATTTTATTACTTTTATGTAACTAAATTTATACAAAGGGTATCTCCAACATTCCCCATAAACTGTAACATTTGGAGTGTTGGAATTTACTCCTAAAAATCTTTTACATGCACATAGACGTACCTTTTCTATTGTATCATAGTTTTCTAGACTCCATACTTCAGCACCATGGAGTAGAATAGGACTGATCTTAATGCCGAAAATCTTGAAAAAAGCTTCATAGCTAATTCCAAGGGGTTTTAGGTTTTGCAAAATGCCGATTAAAATCTTTTTGGCTTGCAGTGCGACTTTGCTGCAAAACAGTGACCAAGTTAATCGATTTGTAAAATGTACCCCTAAATATTTGTTACTCCTTACAACCTCAAGTTTTTACCTTTATATAACCATTTTTCTCGTGTTGATAATTTTCCTATATTTTTTAAAACTATAACCTTTGTCTTATCGATATTGACCTTCAATTTCCATTTGTTACAGTATTACTCAAGTTCATTTCTTAACTTTTGAAGTTCAGGTACTGTGCTCGTGAACATAACTATAGCAAAAAGGAGTAGAAAAGGTTTAATAGTTTCCGAAAGGAGTCGGATGCCCTCGTTACATTTCACAGATATTTGTATCTAAAGTTCATTGTTTCGAACACAAGCCTTCACATTGTGATATATGCAACATAGTAAATTACCAATTTTAGTTCTGTTACCTTGAGATTTGCAAAGAGACCAAACATGTTTCTGTTAATTGTGTCAATCGCTTTAGCAAAACCAACAAATATCAGCATACATTTCTTCTAAGTTTCGTGCTAAATATCTCTGTACAAGTGTCTGCAATATAAATACATTATCCATTAGAGTATCCACTGAAACCGGCTTGTGCTTCATCTATCTATTAAAGGAATCGGTCCAAATTGCTAAACGTTTGTGTATAATACTGGTAAAAATCTTACTGAAAACAGTCAAAAGAGTTATACCCCTATAGTTGTTGGTGACAATAGTTGATCCCTGTAGGTAGGGGAGGAGAATTTCGGACGAATATTTTAAAAATTCAGGAATCAAATTATCTTCACCAGCTGCTTTATTACTTTTTTAGTTTGCAATGCTTTCTGAAATTTCTTTCCTTATTATAGGCGATTCAAGAATATCTGAAGTTAACTGACAAAAAGAGTTATCAAATGCATTCCATTCGTCGATATCAAAACATCTTTCCTCCTCGCTCTCTGTAGAAGTTGAAAATAGATCCTTGAAAAAGTTAAACCAATCATCATTTGTAATATTGATTTGTGTATAACAATTAGTATTTAGCTCTTTAAGAGTGGTCCAAAATTGTTTAGAATCGCGTATACAATGTTCAGGTTTTTCCTGCTTCCCTTTGAAAAAATATCGCTCTCTTTTCTCTGCATACACTGTTTTTCTTTTCTCTGCATACACTGTTGTATTTATTTCTTATATGATTATACTCATTTAATGAGTTATTATCCTTTTTTCTCCCAAAATTGTTTAAATATTTACATATTTCTTTTTTAAGTAGCTCACATTCACGGTCAAACCACCATTGACTAGATGTGTTAAAAGTACGCACTCTTTTCATGTCACTTGCTGCCGTGCACAAGGACTCTGACATGTATCTAACACTTTCGTCTATATTGTATAACACTTCGCCTACAGCCTGTTCTAATAAAGAGTAGCATTCCTTGAGGAACAAGTTGAACATAAATTAGTCAGCTTTATCATTGACATAATCGAATTTGGAAGCCTTCTTATTACCTTATTACCGGGGGCACGGGTGGCCCAGTCGTCTAAGGCGCCGCGATTCGCTGTGCAGAGTTGCGTTCCTTGGGCACGCCAGAAACCTATGATTGTGGGTTCGAATCCCGGTTCGCCCCGATTATGTTTCTAGGTTTGTCAGCACCATACCCGTGCTCGTGGGTTTCACCGAAGTGGTAAAGGTCTGAAACCTGCATCACTTCGGGCTTTCCTCCCACATTAAGCTGACACGCCGCGATATGACTGGAATAATGTTAAAATCGGCGTTAAACCCAACTCACTCACTCACTCACTCTTATAACCATCAGCTTGCAGGGGTTCAGTCTGCAAGTATGTAAGCTCGCCATGACAGGGGGATGAGAAGATTCTGTGCGTGATACTATGTTAAAATTACAGCATACGTCAAACAACCCAGATGAACAGATAATGTTATCTATGACGCTAGCACCTTGATTGCCAATAATTATGGTATAGTCTCCAACTTCTGAGTCTGACCCAGATCTTCTATTCATGAAATGTATATTTAAGACACTGCACAAATTTATCATTTTTCCCCAAGTCGTTTAACACATTGTCTGATGACGCTCGTACCATGTTAAAATGGTCGAGTAGGAAACTATCCACTGAAGAATTATCATTATCTTAATATTCAAGGATATCATCTTCAACTAAACCCGGCTCAATACTAGTACCCGTGCGTGCATTAAAATCTCCACCTGACATAATATGATAGTTGCCGCAGAGAGAAAGAACATCTAGTAGCTCCTCTTGCAACAATAACACACCGTTACTACAGTCAGGTGATAACGTACTGTACCAGCGTGACAGTTGTGTGTGAATATACCAACACGAGTATACTACATCCTTATCTGTATTAAACATGGTTTTGTCTAATTACACAAATATTCCACTTTTACGGTTTTGTGTCCATTTCGCAAAATTCTCAAACTTCTTTTTCTAATTAGAAGTAATATTCCACCTGAAAGGCGACCGAAGTCAGCTATTTTTTCACCCTGTTTTGTTATAACCTTAAAATCTGGAAATATGGGTAGTAACTCAATCTCTTAGGACCAAGATTCTGTCAATCCAATGATGTCGCATATACAGATAAAGCTTACAAAGTCACGATCCTGTAATTAAGCCATCAGCCCTGATACATTCCAAAATATAAATTGTACATACTTGTTGACAATACTGTGGGGTACAATTGTTTGAAGCACCCGTAAACTGTCATGGCCCTGGCCAAACCCCTATCTCACAGCCTTAAGACCAGGGGTCTGGGAGCGAGAGGTTGACCTAAGATAACGTCTCCATCGCTCCCCGCTCCCAGAGTCATCCTGTGTTGTCCGTGTGTCTCTCCTGTCACCTTGTCTAATGATTATGTCTCTACCTTGACTCTGCTGTGTGTTGTCCGTGTGTCTCTCCTGTCACCTTGTCTAATGCTTATGTCTCTACCTTGACTCTGCTGTGTGTTGTCCGTGTGTCTCTCCTGTCACCTTGTCTAATGCTTATGTCTCTACCTTGACTCTGCTGTGTGTTGTCCGTGTGTCTCTCCTGTCACCTTGTCTAATGCTTATGTCTCTCCCTTGACTCTGCTGTGTGTTGTCCGTGTGTCTCTCCTGTCACCTTGTCTAATGCTTATGTCTCTCCCTTGACTCTGCTGTGTGTTGTCCGTGTGTCTCTCCTGTCACCTTGTCTAATGCTTATGTCTCTACCTTGACTCTGCTGTGTGTTGTCCGTGTGTCTCTCCTGTCACCTTGTCTAATGCTTATGTCTCTCCCTTGACTCTGCTGTGTGTTGTCCGTGTGTCTCTCCTGTCACCTTGTCTAATGCTTATGTCTCTACCTGGACTCTGCTGTGTGTTGTCCGTGTGTCTCTGCTGTCACCTTGTCTAATGCTCATGTCTCTCCCTTGACTCTGCTGTGTGTTGTCCGTGTGTCTCTCCTGTCACCTTGTCTAATGATTATGTCTCTACCTTGACTCTGCTGTGTGTTGTCCGTGTGTCTCTCCTGTCACCTTGTCTAATGCTTATGTCTCTACCTTGACTCTGCTGTGTGTTGTCCGTGTGTCTCTCCTGTCACCTTGTCTAATGCTTATGTCTCTCCCTTGACTCTGCTGTGTGTTGTCCGTGTGTCTCTCCTGTCACCTTATCTAATGCTTATGTCTCTACCTTGACTCTGCTGTGTGTTGTCCGTGTGTCTCTCCTGTCACCTTGTCTAATGCTTATGTCTCTCCCTTGACTCTGCTGTGTGTTGTCCGTGTGTCTCTCCTGTCACCTTGTCTAATGCTTATGTCTCCCCCTTGACTCTGCTGTGTGTTGTCATTTCCTTTTTCGCGTCTAAAATCCTCTTCGATTTTGCCTCCTTTATAGAAAAATCTTTTAGTCGGATTTTCAGTTCGTAATTTATTGAGTTCTTGTCTTTGATTATATGTCAAGTCATTTGCTACGCCATATCCTATGTCTCTCAGGGTTTCTCTTAATCGGATAGTGGGCATCTTGTCCTCTCAATGACACATTTTTACAATCAGTGGGCGTGGTTTATGGCCACTTTTTAAAGAGATTCTGTGGGCCCGTTCAATGTCTCTATGTTGTAGTGGCGCTTTCTTGTCCTGATCTCTAGCCCCGTTAACTACGTCTTCTGCTTTCACTCTACAAGTACTGTAGGACTCATCCCCACTCTCGGGCACGTCGTAGAGGACAATGTTATTCCTTCTATTTTGTCTCTCTTGATTTTCGACTCTAGACTCCAATTCACTGATACCATCTAAATAACTCTCTATGGCTTCTACTCTATTATTCATAGCATCTATATAAAGTCTTAGGATCGCTTGTTCTTTCTGGTGATCGATCTCGTTTTTGATAGCACATACCTCTTCTTTGATCGAGTGTATTTCTTCTTTCACTGAAGTAATATCTTTTGATATCTTGTTTTCCGAGTCCTTAATCTGCTGTATCATTGCTGCTTTAAGATCCGATAGCTCATCACCGATGGGTCCAGGATTGAGCTTGATGTCTCCTGCTAAGAGTAGTAGGCTTACCACTGGGTGTCTCCAATCATCGTGTGTGTGGTTCAGTTTTCGTGATGTAAACAAAGTTCCTTTTTCAAAGTTGTTTACGCAAATCTCACCTCACCAGCACACAAGCGATTGGTGGTCCATCGTAGATCAAGTGACTGATCCAAAGGTCCACAATGTAAGTAGAAGTGTGGTACACAGTACAATCCGGTACCCCATTGCTGTCCCGCCCTTCCACTGTAAGTCTGGCAATTTTTTCTCAATTGTAAACTCGGGGTTTCGTAACTGTGACTGATCCTGTATACGTAGTTGAGACCCGTGAAAAAATAACGGTAACAGAAATACAGGAAATTGATCAACATATGTTTCCACATCGTGACGATCATATTTCCTTCGTCAAAGAATGGCGGCCATTCAACTTTTAGTCAGCAAATCATGCGTTTACCCGTATCTGTGATTCGATTCTATAAATAGGTACCTGTCTCTGCACACTATCAAGGTAGACACAATTTTATGGATAACAACTTCTTTAATACTGTAAAAAGCAGCGTTTCGGTATAGATCCTTATACCGTTGTCAAGCAGGAATATTGTTCGACGTGAAGGGAAAGTTGAGTATTGTCATACAGTCTTGAGAAGAGGTTTGAGCACAGATCTAAGTATGACACAGATGAGGCGACCTCACTGGCTCGATTTTTGTAGTTCATGTGGGTAAATCAGTGGAAGGGAATTGTCTATTTGATTGTTATTGAAGGATGTCAGATCATCGATAAACCTGAAGCTTAAGGTAAACTTCTTGGACAAATGCCCTTGTTCTGATTTTACTGATTTTTGTCTGAGCTGAAATTCCGATCCATATGCAGAAAGAAACATCTCAGCAAGAAGTGGGGCGCACTAGATGCCCATGGGGAGGCCTACTTCCTTCCTAAATGTCATACCCACAAATGACACGTAGATGTTGTCAATGAGGAAGTCCAACACTTCACTTATAACTTTTTCAGTAAACTTCAGATGACATTCGTGACAGATTTTCCAGAAACTTTAAAGATAGAGATCTGACTACATGTATGTCTTAGTCACCACGTTCAGTGACAAATGCCCCATCGATGTTATCTGTGAGTTAAATTCGGAAACAATCATTGGATGAAACCTCAGTGAGTTGGTCTATTGCGATTTATGTAGCCCGATGGCGGGGATCGTTGATCGCAATATTGATCCTTTGATTGTCTGGTCCAGGCGCGACTATTTACAGGCCGCCTTCTATAAGTTGGAACATTGCTGAGTGCGGCGTTAAACAACAACAAACACACGCACGCACGCACGCACGCACGCACGCACGCACGCACGCACGCACGCACGCACGCACAAGCACGCACGCACACACGCACACATCTTACCCATTAGCGCCGTAAGTTACAGCTTCTCTCCGTGAAGCACCGGACCTGCCATTGTGCCCCAGTATGCCCAACAAACCGAGATAGGCAAACCCTGCATTGACAAGAACAGGTGTTTTTACGGGTGTAAAGATATTGATGTATTCAAATTGTTTAATATGTCGATGTTAAGTCAAACTCAAAATAGTTGCTATAATTATTTACTTTGCCATTATTGTTTTCCCAAATATAACAGATGTTGTAAACATGTGGCTGTAGACTCCGAATATGTCCATTTACTTCAAATCAGACAATAATCAGATGTCAACCTATAATTCCCAATCATTCCTAACAACCTTCTCATCCTAACAAATGGTGTTAGGCTTACAATCTGTTCTAAAAATGCAAATAAGATAACAGTGACAAACCATATCTGTAATGAGATGAAATGTCTGCTTAGAAGAGCCCGTTGTACGATTCCGAGTATATCTTAAGCATATGTTTATGAATCACTTTCAAATAATGATGATATAAGTTTTTCGCGAAATTGTGAGCGTATTCTGCCCACCGGTTGAAACCGTCACAAACACATGCAAAGTCAAAATATGCGTCAGATTTGGACATGTCCTCTACATTTGTAAACATTTTTGTAAACAACTGTTATGCGAGAGTCGCAGTAGATTTCGCACTGTTGGACGGTGGGGTATTTTTCATGTTATTGAAACTCGATAGTGGAACACCTATTGCGGTAAATTGCACCGGAGTGAATTGAAATAAATACTGCGGCAAAGTATAACAACTGCTTTAAATTGTAAGGAAAAATGCATCCTTTGTAACTTTTAAGAAAATATTCGTATGTTTCTAGCATACAAGGGAACACATATTAATTTCATTTTGTACGAACAAGTGAGTGAGTGAGTATGGTTTTACGCCGCTTTTAGCAATATTCCAGTAATCTCACGGCGGGGGACACCAGAAATGGGCTTCACACATTGTACCCATGTCGGGAATCGAACCCGGGTCTTCTGCGTGACGAGCGAACGCTTTAACCACTAGGCTACCCCTTATGTACGAAGAAGCAAACTGAACATCAAGCCCCGGACATAGAAAACAAATTCAAACTTTTCAAAAGACAAACATACCTTACTTGTATTATAGTAATTATACTTATCATTATGGTACTCAAAATAAGTTAAGCACCACCCGATTCTTTCATATTACTACAGCTAACAACAGTAATATGAAAAAAATCGGGTGGTCCTTAACTTCTTTTGAGTGGTATATATTGCGTTTCCCATTACAAGAGTGAGATCGATAAATGCACCCAAGGAGAAATTAGCATTAGTTATTGTGTCTAATGTGTTAATATGCCTCATGTATATAGGTGTGTTTACATACCCCCAGTTGTGGCCTCCAGGCACATGCTGAAAACTTGATTCAGAGCAATCGGTCCGACAATGGGAAGTTCATTCGGCAGAGTGAGGGTGAGCTTGGCCCTATAAAACTCCTCCTCAAACTGTTTGTTGATGAACCGCCTGTAATTACGGAATCAGACACTTACACTATAAATTAAATAATAAAACAAAAACATAAATATTATTCTACTAAAAAAAATTAGATTTACGACTTCACCATTTTAATGTCGAAGACATGAGTCAAATGTCAAAAACCAGACACTAAGATTCCAAAATTAATTTATTTATTTGTCATGTTTTGTCGTTACCGGTTGAAGTATCAACACGCTGAATGATAAGCTGAGAGTGTTTTCACAATTTAACTTACTGCGAAGCGTCCGCATCCACAGTAGTAGACACTGTACCATTAGGGGAAAGACAACATTTCGCAAACAGGATTTCATCCGAAGCGACGAGTAGGATCGGATTATATTGTATGCGGTACGACACAGTGTGGCAGACATCATTCCCCTGCGAATAATGATGGAAGCAATCGATGAGTGACTCAATGATCAGTTCAATGAGCGAATCAACAAGTGATTCAATGAGTGATTCGATGAGTGATTCAATCAGTGAATTCGTGAGTGATTCAATTCGTGATTCAATGAGTGAATCAGTGATTGATGTAATGAGTGAATCAGTGATTGCTGTAATGAGTGAATCAAAGAGCGATTCAGTGCGTGAATTCATGAGTTCTTCAATGAGTGAATTCATGAATAATTCAATGAGTGAATTCATGTGCGATTCATTGCGTGATTCAATAGGTGAATTCATGAGCGTTTCAATTAGAGATAAAATGAGGGATTCAATGAATGAATTCAATGAGCGATTCAATGAGTGATTCAAGGAATGAATTCAAGGAGTGAATTCAATGAGCGATTCAATGAGTGATTCAAGGAGTGAATTCAAGGAGTGAATTCAATGAATGATCCACTGAGGGATTCAATGTGTGATTCAACGAATGATTCAAGGAGTGAATTCAATGAGTGATTCACTGAGGGATTCTAGAGTGATTCCATGAGTGATTCAATCAGTAATTCAGGGAGTGATTAAATGAGATATTCACTGAGTGATTCACTGAGTGATTCAATGAGTGATTCAATGAGTAATTCAACGATGATTCAATGAGTGATTCAACGAGTGATTCAACGATGATTCAATAAGTGATTCAATGATGATTCAATGAGTGATTCAACGATGATTCAGTGAGTGATTCAAAAAGTCATTCAACGATGATGCAATGAGTGATTCAATGAGTGATTCAACGAATGATTCAATGAGTGAATTCAAGGAGTGAATTCAATGAGTCATTCAATGAGTCATTCAATGAGTGAATTCGTGGGTGATTCAATGCGCGATTCAATGAGTGACAAACAGTAGATCAACAGTAAGCTACAAGACGCGACAAAATCGACCGGGTACCTCGTCGTAGCCGTGACAGCAGACTACGTTGCTAATTACGTGTATATCTGTAGGTGGCGTGTCTGGCCAAATAAGCAGCCGTGACACTGCTGTATACTTACCTGTTTCAAAGAGGGGTATCTTCCGCAGAGGTTCATGAGACCAATCATACATCACGCATAATCTGACATAGCTAATGCATGTTGTATACTTACCTGTTTTACAGAGGGGTATCTTCCGCAGTCCCCTTCAAACTCGACTGTGATACACTGACCCTTCACCTCTGCTGGGATCCTGTCTGTAGGGTCATCGGGGTCGGGGACTGGTCTGGCCGTGCACTGAGTCGACGTGTAGCCAGAGACGGTGACAAGAGGCTGAAACTCGTTGATGGGGTTCATGCAGACCGTCATCTTGTTATTGTCACAGGAAGTGATGATGGCTGCCAAGGAAAGTGAGTGAGTGAGTGAGTGAGTGGGTGGCTGGGTGGCTGGGTGGTTGAGTGGGTGAGTGAGTGAGTGAGTGAGTGAGTGAGTGAGTGGGTGGATGAGTGGGTGGGTGGGTGAGTGGGTGGGTGAGTGGGTGGGTGGGTGAGTGAGTGGGTGGGTGGGTGGGTGGGTGAGTGGGTGAGTTGGTGGGTGGGTGAGTGGGTGGGTAGGTGGGTGAGTCAGTGAGTGAGTAAGTGAGTGAGTGAGTGAGTGAGTGAGTGAGTGAGTTTTAATGCCGCAGAACAGTATTCCAGTTTTATCATGGCGAGTCACATGTAGAGAGCAGACATACCTAGACCTGGGACTCTTAAGAAAGAAATAATCATCAGTACCAAACTGTTGTTGGATGATATATCATATCATATCACTGTGACAGATTAGGAATTATGTGTTTATCAATTAAATATATTATTAAAAAGAATTATTTTTATTTCAAATTACTTCGCTTCAGCTGACAGGCCTTGTCTCCGGTGCTGTAGAACTCGGGATAACATCGACACTGCCCCGTGCCGTTAACAGACACACACTGGCCCCTGGAGCCACAGTCGAAGTCTTGGCACCCAGACCCGTTGACGTCATCTGTAATCATGAAACGTCTTCTGTACTTGATGCCAATCGGAAGTCTCATCACAACATTCAAACTAGATATGAGGCAAAAGATAGATTCAGAGACAGTCGAAGGGAAATAACTCTTGTACCTCTGGCGTCAACATCGCCAAGTTATTTATAGAAACAACATCGTTTAGAGTAAAATCTAGCATTTCAGTCTCAGTTGTACGAGTATGTCATTTACTGATATTATCTATGTTATTCATTGTACAATACATACAACTTTTACAACAATAACGTTTGGAATTGCAGAAGGAGCGAGATGTATATTCTAAAGGACGTTTCATTACAACAAAACTTAATGACGCTCTGTCAACATTCCTGGTAATGTGGGGTACTGGGTTCAGGGGAAGAGAGTAGGTGACGGGGTGCAGGGGAAGAGAGTAGGTGACGGGGTGCAGGGGACGAGAGTAGGTGTCGGGGTGCAGGGGAAGAGAGAACGTGTCGGGGTGCAGGGGAAGAGAGTAGGTGTCGGGGTGCAGAGGAAGAGAGTAGGTGACGGGGTGCAGGGGAAGAGAGTAGGTGACGGGGTGCAGGGGAAGAGAGAACGTGTCGGGGTGCAGGGGAAGAGAGTAGGTGTCGGGGTGCAGAGGAAGAGAGTAGGTGACGGGGTGCAGGGGAAGAGAGTAGGTGTCGGGGTGCAGGAGAAGAGAGAACGAGTCGGGGTGCAGGGGAAGAGAGTAGGTGTCGGGATGCAGGGGAAGAGAGAAGGTGTCGGGATGCAGGGGAAGAGAGAAGGTGTCGGGGTGCAGGGGATGAGAGTAGGTGTCGGGGTGCAGGGGAAGAGAGTAGGTGTCGGGGTGCAGGAGAAGAGAGAACGAATCGGGGTGTAGGGGAAGAGAGTAGGTGTCGGGATGCAGGAGAAGAGAGAACGAGTCGGGGTGCAGGGGAAGAGAGTAGGTGTCGAGGTGCAGGGGAAGAGAGTAGGTGTCGGGGTGCAGGGGAAGAGAGTAGGTGTCGGGGTGCAGGGGAAGAGAGTATGTGTAGGGATGCAGGGGAAGAGAGGAGGTGTCGGGATGCAGGGGAAGAGAGAAGGTGTCGGGGTGCAGGGGAAGAGAGTAGGTGTCGGGGTGCAGGGGAAGAGAGGAGGTGTCGGGTGCAGGGGAAGAGAGGAGGTGTCGGGGTGCAGGGGACGAGAGTAGGTGACGGGGTGCAGGGGAAGAGAGGAGGTGTCGGGGTGCAGTGGAAGAGAGTAGGTGTCGAGGTGCAGGGGAAGAGAGTAGGTGACGAGGTGCAGGGGAAGAGAGTAGGTGAAGGGGTGCAGGGGACGAGAGTAGGTGACGGGGTGCAGGGGAAGAGAGGAGGTGTCGAGTTGCAGGGGAAGGGAGTAGGTGTCGGGGTGCAGGGGAAGAGAGTAGGTATCGAGTTGCAGGGGAAGAGAGTAGGTATCGAGTTGCAGGGGAAGAGAGGAGGTGTCGGGGTGCAGGGGAAGAGAGGAGGTCTCGGGGTGCAGGGGAAGAGAGTAGGTAACGGGGTGCAGGGGAAGAGAGTAGGTGACGAGGTGCAGGGGAAGAGAGTAGGTGACGGGGTGCAGGGGTAGGGAGTAGATGTCGAGGTGCAGGGGAAGAGAGTAGGTGACGGGGTGCAGGGGACGAGAGGAGGTGTCGAGTTGCAGGGGAAGAGAGTAGGTGTCGAGGTGCAGGGGAAGAGAGTAGGTATCGAGTTGCAGGGGAAGAGAGTAGGTATCGAGTTGCAGGGGAAGAGAGGAGGTGTCGGGGTGCAGGGGAAGAGAGGAGGTCTCGGGGTGCAGGGGAAGAGAGTAGGTATCGAGTTGCAGGGGAAGAGAGGAGGTGTCGGGGTGCAGGGGAAGAGAGTAGGTATCGAGGTGCAGGGGAAGAGAGAAGGTGTCGGGGTGCAGGGGAAGAGAGTAGGTATCGAGGTGCAGGGGAAGAGAGAAGGTGTCGGGATGCAGGGGAAGAGAGTTGGTGACGGGATGCAGGGGAAGAGAGAAGGTGTCGGGATGCAGGGGAAGAGAGTAGGTGACGGGGTGCAGGGGAAGAGAGAAGGTGACGGGGTGCAGGGGAAGAGAGTAGGTGACGGGGTGCAGGGGAAGAGAGAAGGTGTCGGGATGCAGGGGAAGAGAGAAGGTGTCGGGGTGCAGGGGAAGAGAGTAGGTATCGAGGTGCAGGGGAAGAGAGAAGGTGTCGGGGTGCAGGGGAAGAGAGTAGGTATCGAGGTGCAGGGGAAGAGAGAAGGTGTCGGGGTGCAGGGGAAGAGAGTAGGTATCGAGGTGCAGGGGAAGAGAGAAGGTGTCGGGGTGCAGGGGACGAGAGTAGGTGACGGGGTGCAGGGGAAGAGAGAAGGTGTCGGGGTGCAGGGGAAGAGAGGAGGTCTCGGGGTGCAGGGGAAGAGAGGAGGTCTCGGGGTGCAGAGGAAGAGAGTAGGTATCGAGGTGCAGGGGAAGAGAGAAGGTGTCGGGGTGCAGGGGAAGAGAGTAGGTGTAGGGGTGCAGGGGAAGAGAGTAGGTGACGGGGTGCAGGGGAAGAGAGTAGGTGTCGGGGTGCAGGGGAAGAGAGTAGGTGTAGGGGAAGAGAGTAGGTGTCGGGATGCAGGGGAAGAGAGTAGGTGTCGGGGTGCAGGGGACGAGAGTAGGTGTCGGGGTGCAGGGGACGAGAGTAGGTGTCGGGGTGCAGGGGAAGAGAGAAGGTGTCGGGGTGCAGGGGAAGAGAGTAGGTGTCGGGGTGCAGGGGAAGAGAGAAGGTGTCGGGGTGCAGGGGAAGAGAGTAGGTGACGGGAAGCAGGGGAAGAGAGGAGATGACGGGATGCAGGGGAAGAGAGTAGGTGTCGGGGTGCAGAGGTAGGGAGTAGGTGTCGGGGTGCAGAGGTAGGGGGTAGGTGTCGGGGTGCAGGGGAAAAGAGACGGTGTCGAGGTGCAGGGGTAGGGAGTAGGTGTCGGGGTGCAGGGGAAGAGAGTACGTGTCGGGGTGCAGGGGACGAGAGTAGGTGTCGGGGTGCAGGGGTAGGGAGTAGGTGTCGGGGTGCAGGGGAAGAGAGAAGGTGTCGGGGTGCAGGGGAAGAGAGTAGGTGACGGGATGCAGGGGAAGAGAGTAGGTGACGGGATGCAGGGGAAGAGAGGAGGTATCTTCACAAACACACTTTATGTCTCCTGACCTAATTTGTACACGCTCCCTGCGTTTCTGATAACGAAGAACTAAGAACAGGAAGGCGCGCTGCATGGTCTCCATGTCAATCTTACACATGTTAAAAGAACGATATTTAAGTTGAAAACGACTATATCAGGTAACTTTACTTCAAGGCGAGGTCATGCAGGTCGGTGTGACCTGTGCAATCCTCAAACACTTCTCTATAGGTTGTTTATGTCAGCGATCATGTTCAACAAAAAAGCGCTTTGTATCTTACAACGTCACATCTTGTTTCTTCACACTCTCGCGTGATGCTAATCTTAACGCATGTCGGAGTCTTCTGATAAACACTACTTTGTTATTAGTCGTATCTCTCGTCCATCTGTGTACGCCTGGCTAGGTGTGGTTCTACCTATTTCACACCTCTTTTATACTTGATTGAAAGATAGGTTAAGGGACATCCAACTGAGCCTACAGGTGTGCACGCTTTAATTTTGTTAGAACTTTCTAAATGATACAAATAGGAAAATAAACACATTCTGACGACGGCTGTGCTGTATTCTGTCGCATGTCATCAATTTACCGTAACAAGCGACGTAAGCGTATCAATGATCCATGTCTGTCGTAAATTGCGACCAAAACGTATCCATATATGTCGTAAGCGACGATACACGTATTCACGACGAAGACAAATGTCTGTCACAATAAGGGACGTAAACGTGTCTATTTCTGTCGCTATAAGTGACGTAAACGTATCTATATCTGTCCTAATAATCGACGTAAACGTGTCTCTTTGTGTCTGTCGAAATAAGCGAAGTTAACGTATCTAGGTCTGTCGAAATAAGCGACGTAAACGTATCCTGTCTGTCGAAATAAACGACGTAAACGTATCTCTATCTGTCATAATAAGCGACGTAAACGTATCTGTGTCTATCGTAAGAAAAGTAAAAGTGTCTGTTTTAGAAATCCAGGTAAATGTGTCCATGTCTGTCGTAATAGTCGATGTAAACGTATCTATGCCTGTCGTAGTAAGCGATGTTAGCGTATCTACGTCTGTCATAATAAGCGACGTAAACGTATCTCTATCTGTCAAGAGGCGTAAACGTATCCCGTGTGTCAAAGAGCGATGTTAACGTATCTCTATCTGTCATAATAAGCGACGTAAACGTATCTGTGTCTATCTTAAGAAAAGTAAAACAGTTAAAGTGTCCATGTCTGTTTTAGAAAGAGAGGTAAACGTGTCCATGTCTGTCGTTATAGCCGATGTAAACGTATCTATGTCTGTCGTAGTAAGCGACGTTAGCGTATCTACGTGTGTCATAATAAGCGACGTACGCGCATCCATGTCTGTCGAAATAAGCGACGTAAAAGGCGACGAAAGCGTATCTATGTCCGTCGTAACAGCCTATGTAAACGTATAGATTATAAGAAATGACAACATTTATGTCCTTGACCAAAACAATCTTGGAAAGGGAAAAGCCACTCATAGAAAGCATGTAATATGGTATATCGTAGTCTTGCGTATCTGAAGAAACTTACTGTTAAAAAAAATATGATATATATGCAAAAACCAGCAAATTTCTTTGTCCCAGTAAGAACAATTTTAAGAATTTCCCATGTAGTGTTAAAAAATCCTTACAGCTATTGTTTGGATGGCTAAAAATAGAAATCCACCATATAAAATAGTCGTGGGTCAAAATGTTCTTTGGTAAAAAATGTCGAAGGGCATGGTCCTCAATAATTTGTCTTTCCAGTAACAAATTCTTCAAAAATATAAATGTTGATACCTCCCTTGGCATCATGAAATACTCTTCCTGTTATGCCCAGAGGATATTTCCTGCAGAGAAAGTTGCTATGTGGTGTTGCACAGCATGAGAAGAGAAGAGG